ATCCCAGGATCTTCTTGGATCGGGGGTTGGTCTTGGGGCTGAGAAGAGCAGAGGCCTATTTCTGCCAGAACTTGGGACCTGCCATGGGTTGGTATCACTGTGAAAGAGTCCAGGTTTTGGAATCCAGCTACTCTCTCGGGCTGGCCATTAACCTCTCTGAGCCTCAGTTTCCTCTTTGACAGAATGGAGAAGGTAAAACTGGCTTTGCAGGGGGGAGTGAGATAATGCCAGCAAAGGCCTGGCGCAGCAGGTGCTGACAGGTACAGCCAGCTCCCTCAGCCTGCCTGACTGTGTATCTGTCCGGAAGGGGTGGTGGTACTTGGCCTGGCAACCTGCCTATTACAACAGCAATGGGGTCTTGCTGTGTTCTGCTCTAGTTCATGATGTTGATTGAGGGAGACAGCTGAAGAGCCCATCGAACAAACTCACCTAAATTCAGACCCAAAGGAAAAGAATGGCTTCTGAATTTATAACTTCTTTTTTTTTTTAAACTACATCTGTCAATGTTATACACATTTGCTCCTGGAAATGTAGGAAGCAGAAGCAGCTCCTTTCATAGGTGGGTAAAATGGAAGGACAGAGAAAATGACTTCCTGCCCAGGTTCACCTGACGCATCGCTGAGGAAGTTCAGAGTCGAATGAAGTCACTTTCCTCCTGGGCTTCTCCAGACTGATTTCTGTCTGGTTCTATCTTCTTTTGTTCTTTGCAGAGAAGAGGCAGTTCAGTTTAAACTCTAGCTCCCTGTTTTGAACTTCAGCCCACACCCCTCCAGCAAAATAATCAGCATTCATGTAGCCCAAGTCAAGGAAAGAGAAGTCTTTGTTCAGAGCATCCCACTGCACTTTGGGAATTGGGATGGCACAGAACCTGGCAAACAGGCTTTGAGGTTAATAGATTTGATTTAATGACGCTAGGAGTCTGCCTTCCCATAGCCTGTGCAGTTTTTGTTTTTTTTTTTGTCTCCTCTCATGGGATCCTTGTGACTCACGTGCCTCAGGGCAAGCTGCTGGGAACCGAAGCAGCTCCACAGATGCCCTGCTCAGGGGCATGGGCTTTTCTCTGGAGAAGGGGGCCCTGCCGGAATGAAACCTGTCAGGAGTATAACTCAGTCGGAGGACATGAGGACAGGCTAGTGTCTGCCCTGTCAGCCTGTTACGTGGGGAACATGCCTGTAAGATGTGACTGGCTGAAGCAGATGAACCAGAATGCCCACATCCAAGTGAGTGTGGATCCACTCAGCTATCTCAGAGCTGTGTGTGCATGGGCTACACACACGCACCACTGATGTTCCCACTGCTCAGAATATTGTGGTACAAGATCTCTAGAAGTTTCCATCAGAGCCAGCTTTTCAGACATGCAAGAAAAATGTTTTTGAGTCTTTTTCTCATATCCTCATTTTTGAATATCAAATAATGTCCCAAGCATGACCCCCATTTTTTTTTTTTTACTAGTTGAAATTCCAGATCATTTCTAGTGATTTCCGAAAGTCATGTCTAGTCATCCTTGGAAGACTTAAGGGGCTTCCCAGATGGCACTTGTGGTAAAAAAACCCACCTGCTGATGCCAGAGACACGAGAGACATGGGTTTGATCCCTGGGTCGGGAAGATCCAGAGGATCTTCCCGGAGGAGGGCATGTCAACCCACTCCAGTATGCTTGCCTGGAGGATCCCATGGATAGAGGAGCCTGGAGGGCTACATTCTATAGGTCGCAAAGAGTCAGACACGACTGAAGTGACTTAGCACACACACAGAGGCAGAGCACCTAAGAGACCATTGCATACTCTGAAGAGATTCAGAGGAACATCCCCTGAATGTAGGTCTTGTTACTTGGCCAAGTGGGTAGCTGTGTGCGCCTTGTTCTTTCAAAGAGCCAGGTCAGGAACTGCCAGGTAATGGTTGACTCTTTTGCATGACTGGGGAGTCCTGTGAAGACATGCTCCTTGTTTATAGAGACAACATGGTCCACTCCCTGGGGCGGATTTAGTTTGGACTTTAGTCCTGTCTCCTAATAAGCTGCTTTCTCTGGATGTTGCTAAGCAAAGGTCTCTGCAGTCACGGAGTGTGGGGTTTTCTTTATGTGTCTTTCCCTGCCCACCCACCCCTCAGTGTCCCTCACTGATATTCAGTGTTGGGGCCACAACACTTTTCCAGCTGAAATCTGTTCATACCCGGCTCTCTAGGTAGTGGTCTTACCTTCTTTCCTCACCAACCTAAGGCTGCAGGGAAGTCCTCTTTGTCCCTGCACTTTTGGCTGGAGAACTCCCTGGCCAGCCAGCCTCCCAGAAGCTAGCCTGGGAGGGGACACGGGGTTAGAATACAGGAAGATGACTGCAGTTAACGCTCAGGATTGTAAGGTGCAGAAACAGCAAGTGTGGCTGCCTGTCCTGCTTTCCCAGGCCATCACAAACCCAGACGGTCTACCCTTTGTCTCACTGAGCAACAGCGATGTGTCTAGTTGATGGAATGTAATGCAGTCATTTAAAATGATATGGATGAGTTTAAAAGAAAGGAAAAAATGTTTAGATTACAGCAAGTTTTAAAAATCAATATGGAAAATCGTAAAGCAATATGATCACAGTTATCTGGGCTTTCCAGGTGGCGCTAGTGATAAAGAACCCACCTGCCATTGCAGGAGACATAAGAGACCTGGGTTCCATCCCTGGGTCAGGAAGATCCCCTGGAGGAGGGCATGGAAACCTACTCCAGTATTCTTGCCTGGAGAATCCCATGGACAGAGGAGCCTGGTGGGCTATATATAGGGTCGCAAAGAGTTGGACACAACTAAAGTGACTTAGTATACACAATTATCTAAAAACACAAAAAAATACCCCCCCCCCAAAAAAAAAACCCCAAGCATATTACAAAGAATGAAAGTAAATATACCAGGGAGATTCCTAGTGTCCTTTTGGTTTAGGATTCTGGGCTTTCACTGCTGTGGTCCAGGTTCAGTCCCTGGCTAGGGAACTGAGATTGTGCAATGTGTGTGGTGTGGCAAAAAAAAGAAAAAGGAAAGAAAGTAAATATACCAAGTACCTAAGATGATTTTCCTTTGGATAACAGGACTGTGGTGACATTTTTCTTTCCTACTAGCTTTTTTCTTGTATTTCTCAAGTATTCTGTAATAACCCTCATATCAGTGTCTTAAATGGGAAACAATTAAACTTGATAAAATCCCAAACAAACCTTTTTTATTGTTGGACTGTGTGTCCTGAACTTGGACTTAGAGATGTAGCTGCCATAACTGAGATGAGCCGAGAACTCTTCTTTTGCCTTGTCTCAACCTCTGGGAATCTGAAAAGTCAGGCAAGACCAGGTTCCAGGAAGACATCTTGGGCATAGTTCTGCCTGGAGGCAGGGGCTGGACAAGGCAGCCTCTCAGAGCCCCTTCCCACCCCCGGTTGGCTGTTATCTCTCTGCTGCACACAGCCTCTGCCAGCAGTGCGCGGGCTCCAAGTGTGGCGACATTCTCTGAGTGGGGAGCAGTGACAAAAGTCTGGCTGGGACGGAGGCCGGGGGTGGGGAATCTGGAGTGAGTGCCTGAGCTGATAAGGAGCCAGTGATCTTTCTGCCTGGTGGGACTCGCACCGCTAGCCGCCAAGCATCCGCCCGGCCCAGCCCCTTGGAAAGCTGGTACCCGCCGCGGTGGTCCTGCTGCTGGTAGAGCTCAGAAAGCACAGTGGTCCTGGCTGTTTCTGCGAAGGACTTCCTGATGGTGCAGGGTGTCAGAACTCTGTCTTGGGGCATGGGAAGGATCACTGTCCTTTGAGTGGCCGTGGTTTTGAAGGAAGCAGCATAGCTCCAAGTGGAAACTGGGATTTTCCCTCCTGGCACCTCTGTAAACGTGAGCCTGGTGAGCAGACATCCAGAACGCGTCTTCCTCGGCTGTGTTTCGCCTGGATCCTCCAGCTCCATCTCCTCAGGGCCCTGGCCCAGGCCTCCAAATCAGTTTCTCCACTTCTCTGGCAAAAGGCCTCAGTTTACTGCAGCTGTCTGGATCCTGTCACCCATCGGAGCAGCAGGCACCCAGCCAGAGAATGCTGGCACTTACACTTTGAGGAAGGCTTACGGATCCTGGAGATAGCAAAGTCTGGGAATCAAGCATTGAGCTGCTCAAGGATAGGGACTGGATTGTGTGGAATCATTTTCTGCTGCTGTTTTGAAAGAGTCTGGCAAATGCTCGGGCTCTGTAGAGGCAGGTGAGAAGGGTTCTCTACGATACCTCTTAAGCGTTATGTACAATGCTGCCAGGGTACCAGCCTTCCCAGGGCAAGTGGGAAGCATAACTGGCCCTCTTGGTGGGAAGCATGATGTCGCTGGATGCTGATGGGGACACATCAAGGGCATCTGCACGGGGGACCCAGGCATGCCTCGTTTCTTCCTGCTCTCCAGACATGGCACAAGGGGTTAATATTTCCAGTGGCTCTATTTTGGGGCTAATGGAGTGTTCCTAGAATAGGACTCTTTGTTGAGTAGTCTATTTTCGGAGGCAAGCCCCACTGGCATTTATGTAAGTGATTCTCTCTGTGTATCTGGGGGTGTGGGTGTGTGTGCGAGTGATTTCTTGTTACTAATTATAAGCAGCTCTTTTTGGGAGCCAGGGAAATGGAGGTGTGTTTATGTGTGTAAGGAGTGTGGATTGCTCTTGCCGTGAAGAGTGGTGGTGTAACCATGTGTGCCCATCTGATGGGCACACAGACACCCAAGTAAGAGGATAAATGAGGAGGCCTTGCGACAGCAGGCAGCAGTGACTTGGCCCCTTGGTGGGGTGTCAGGCTGCGGAGCCTGCCCACCTGTCCATGCTCTTGATTCCATGAAGCACATGTGTAGGCTGGACATCATGACCCTCTGACTGCAGTCTGGAGTTAGGTGGTGTCCAGAAGATCTGTCCTGGGTTGTTTAAGGTCCATTAACCAGTTCTAACCTGAACTAAACCTCAGACTCCACTTCCCATCGCAGCCTGGCCACTTATTCACTGCATTCTCTTCTGTCTCTCCACAGGCCAAATCCACATATGTCGAAGCAAGAGAGAAACCAAAGACCGTCCAGCATGGTCAGTGAAACGTCCACGGCGGGGACCACTTCCACCGTGGAGGCCAAGGCTGGCCCCAAGGTGAGCTCTTGACCTCTCACCCTTGCCTTCCTCTCTTCTGTATTTTGCCAAGTCCCTTTGTAGCCAAAGACGCATTTGACCTTCACCATAGTGTTGTTTTGTTTTTTACCTCTTTATTTTGTATTGGGGTTTAGCTGATTATAATGTTGTGATAGTTTCAGGTGAACAATGAAGGGATTCAGCCATACACATGCATGTATCCGCTCGCCCCCAAGCCCCACTCCCGTCCAGGCTGCCACATAACATTGAACAGAGTTCCATGTGCTAGACAACAGGTCCTTGTTGGTTATCCATTTTAAATACAGCAGTTCCATCATAGTTTTGTGAAGGAGACATGTAAAAAGTATTGTCCCCAAATGAGAGATCAGGAAATAGGCCAGTTGGGGTTATGTCACATGTCCAAGAAAACAGGTGATTGCTGACAGAACCAGGACTGACATCTAGGGCCTTGGCCACATTCTCCATTTTCCTGGCGTGTCTTGGGAAGGCCACACCTCTGTTCACATGTGTCTTAGAGACCGCATGGTAAACTTTGTGACAGAGGCCCCAGAGGTGTCTGTGCCACTCTGTGGGAGCACTGGCTGAGGAGCAGGGAAGAGAACCAGCATTGTAGAGAAGGAGAGAGCACCAGAAAGGCGGGGGGTGGGGGGTAAATATCTGGAAATTAGTAAATACTATCACCAAAAAGTAGCATTGTTCAGAAAGTCATAGGACATATTGGGGCCAGCAGCTGCTGGTAAAAGTTGATTGAAAAATCCCTTTACATTTGTTTTCTCTGTGACCCAGACAGGAAGCTTGCTAGCTCTTGGACTCCCTTTTAATTAGGAGGCTATGGCCATGCACCCACCCATTCTCCGTCATCTCGCTGTTCTTTTGATTAGAGGACAGTGCCGTGCAGATGAAGACACAGGAAGCCTATGGCTCTCCTATCATGCATGTGCTTTTGGGGGCTTCCCCAAATCATCCCAGCTGCTAGAGATTGAGTCTGCTCTTTCCTAGATCATTAAGTCCAGCAATAAAGTGCACAGCTTTGGGAAGAGGGACCAGGCCATTCGGAGGAACCCCAACGTTCCAGTGGTGGTGAGGGGCTGGCTACACAAGCAGGTGAGGAGGCTGAGGAGGGAGGGCGACAGGGAGCTAGTTCTTTCTGATTTCCTTCCTTCCCCTGACCCCCGGGAGCTGGGAACGGGCTTGTAATAAGATTTTTGTTCCTGAGTCTGTCCGAGGCCAGTAGATTCTACTGATCGTGCTAAGTGATTTGCTTTTCATGTTTGTAAGTGGACTGTACTCAATGACTGCAGTTTCCTTCCCCAAACCCACTTAACTGCTTTGGTTCTTGGTACTATCAGCTGTCCTGGGACTTGGACCCAAGTGTGGGTGGGTCAGCCTGCATCCAGCTTTGCAGCCACAATCCTCTGCCAGCACTAGCCTTCCTGATGTTAAAGAGCCTTTGTTATCATTTGCCTGAAAAATCCCATGTTTTCCTTTTCTCCTGTCTAGCACATATATCGAACTTCCTAGCACCTCAGATTTCAAATCGGCCAAACTCAACTCACTGTCTCCTCAGCGCCTCCCTGTCTTTTCCCCCAGCCTGCTCTTCCTGGGTCGTGGTGGTGGTGCCATCCTTCTCTCAGGCACTCGGCTTAGGAACCTCAGCACCATCACCAGCTTCTCCTCCTCCCACATCCGTTCAGTCCGGAAGCCCTGTCAGCTCTATGTCCTCCCACAGTCCATCCTCCAGCTCTGTCTTTACCAGCAGTTATTCTGCCTCTGGTCCTCTGGCCTCGGATAGGCCGTGAGGTCCCAGGGTCAGAGAACATGTTCCTTCTGTCTTCTTCCTTCCCTTCTTGCCATCCATCCACCCATCCCCCGACTCACCCACCAAATGCCTGCCATGTTCTAAGTGTTCTCACTGCAACGACAAAGGGATGAGTAACGTGTGGTTCCTGCACTCGAGGACCTCCTGTCATGGTCTGCAGGGGACTCCCGCATAGCATATTATCCAGATAAGCACAAATTCTGAGAGCAGTGATGTATGTTTTTACTCAAGGCTTTATGGGAAGACAGAGATGGGCATTAACATGTACAACACACAGAAGAAATTCCTAAATGTCTCCTTGAAATCCCTCTCCCCCAGGTCTGTTCCCCACGGCAGCTCCCACAGCTCCCCAGCCTCTTCTGACCAGTATTCCCCTGGCACCATCCTCTTTTAATGAGACCCTCTTCCCTCACAGCTCAGTTCTTATTCTCTTTTCTTACCTGGGTCACCCTCTGACTTTTTTCCATTTGCATCCCTGTCCCCGTTAAACGTTAAACAAAAGGCTCCTTTGAAATGTGGAGGGAGACGGAAGGGATTGTAGATAATCCTTCTCCCCAGCAGACACCCCCTTGCTCAGGCCCCTGGGCCCCTCGGCTGTGCTGTGGCTATAAGGTCTGTGTAGATGCTGTGGACTCACAGTAGAGAAAGTATCACTGTGCTTGGGGGAGTCCTAAAAGGTCCTGGAGGAAGTGACATTTGAAGCAGATATATAAGGGTGGAGAAGAGCTTTTCAAACAAAGCAAATATCATATGCCAAGACTTTAGAGGTCACCTAGTTAATGCAGAAGATAAAATCAAGAAATATGGGAGCTTAGCAAGTTTTAACACTTAAGTAAATGGAGAATGGATAAAAATTTTAAAAATTTAAGGCTGTCAAAAAGTTTTGCAGAAGGAAGACAATTTAAATAGCTAAAAGTGGCTCTGGAATTTTCCTAGGTTTAGGAGAAAAATGACCCCAAACCTACTGTTTTCCTACCCTAGCAATATTTAAAAGTTTTTCATAGTCACCTAAAATTTTTTTTAAATGTAATGATTTACATTTTAGATGAGTAGAGGCAGAGTCTTGTTATGAGACAATTTAGTTCAAGAAAATCCAAGTCTTTTTCTGTTGAATGGAAGGAAAACACAGCATAACCAGTCCCTTACAGTAGGTAACTTAGTCAAATGAGACTTTTGCCTCACTGATTAATTAGCTAACTTAAATTCTTTGTCCCATACTATGTAAATCGATTTTCTCTCTTTTTTAAATTTTTATTGGAGGACAGTTGACTTACAATGCTGTGTTAGTTTCAGGAGTACAGCAAAGTGAGTCAGTTAAACATATACATGTATCCACTCTTTTGTTTTAAATTCTTTTCCCATATAGGCCATTACAGAGTATTGGGTAGAGTTCCCTGTGCTATGCTAAATCAATTTTCTAATCAGTATAAATGAAGATATTTTATAGCATATTGAATGAATGAATAAATAACTTTTTGTTAAAAACTGATTTCTTTCTTACTGGAAGAACTGTTTTTGAATTCATATCTTCCTTTCTAAAAGTAGGATGCTTATGATACATTAGACTGTTTACAGGAAACAGAACTTCCTGGGGAAAAGCCATCACTGGATTTAAATTTTAATGTCCTATTCAAAGAAAGGCTATGCAATAAAAATTTATTAATTTATGGAAAGAAAGCGTGAATATGGGCAAATCCTGGTTCCAGAATCAGGTTGTACATAACTAAGGAGGGGTAGCAGTATGCTCAGATATTGCCCTGATTAGTTTTCTTTGCTTTGCAGGACAGTTCTGGGATGAGGCTGTGGAAAAGGAGGTGGTTTGTGCTTGCTGATTATTGCTTGTTTTACTATAAAGGTGAGCTGAGGTTCAGGCCACCAAGGGCTCTTTGTGCCTGAGGGGGTGGTGAGGTGATACAAAGGTGGTCTTCTCAAATCCAGTGTTTGGACCAGTGGCCCGAGCTAATTAATAACCTGTTTTAACCTGCCAAAGTGTTCACTTTTACATATGTGGATGGTTGGTGACTTCATTTTTATCAGTCCCAGCACTGGAACTGCCATTTGTTGAGTTAAAATTAATAGAATCTGGTTTGCCTTCTACTTAGGGTCTCAAGATCTGGAGTTTTTCTAGCTTCTGCCCCACTTGGGGCATAGGCTCACCTTTGATGCAATCTGGAGGGATGAGAAGTATAGGTGAAGCATTATATTTTGTAACCTATTATCTGGATTTATCCCCTGTTATTGGATGGGCAGCTGGTGAATAAAATTGGCCATATGAATATTTGTGAAGCCCCAGTACTTAGAGTTAGGGGCTGTGCAAAGGTTAGAAGGAAGTAAGGCTCAAAATATGGAGGAAGAGATAGCCTAATTATAAGACAAGACTAGGCTGTGACAGGTGCTTTGGAAGGCATCCAAAGTGCTTAGGCAGTGCAAGGGAAGCAAGAAGTTAATTCCATCGTGGAGAACTTGGGAAGGCTCCTTAGAAGAGATAGGGTATGAGTTGAGCTTTTTAGGATGGGTAGAACTTTGCCCATATTTGGGGGAAGATGGGCATTCGCGCAGAAGAAACAGCTTGACTTAAGTTCTAGAAGCAGAAGAAGGTGGCATGATAGACCTTCAAGGCTAGAGTGAGTCTTGCATGGAGCACACACTAGGAGATAAGGCTCAGGAGATGGCTAAGGGCCAAAATGCAAAAGGGCTGTGACTCTAGACAGAGGAAGTTGGGTTTCCTTCTGTATCCAGTGAACAGTCAGCAAGTGCCTTGTGTGGGAGAGCAGAGACACCAACTCGTCATTAGGAAGTTACCTCTGGTAAGGAAGATGGTTTGGGGGAGGAAGAGAATAGATATAGAAAATATGATATTTCCCACATGCTCTAACTGCCCATGAGGTGTGTACCACCCAGAATCCCTTCCCCATCCTTCACAAAACTTTAAGTATCACCTTCCGAAGCCTTCTTCACTTCTCCAGGCTGTGTGCCACTCCTGGCTGTGTGTTCCCACAGCACATGGTATGCTGCTGTATTTCAGGAGTTAGCAGGTGGAACTGAGTGTGTTTACATGTGTGTCCCCATCCTCAGGGAGAGGGCCCTGTCTGACTCACCTGTGTAGTTCCAGCACTAGCACAGTGGTCCCCGGAGCACCTGAATGGATGATCCGTGATTGCAGTCATCCTGGGAGAGCTAAGAAGCACTGAACTAGGGTTGTGGGATGGACCACCCTAAGGAGGGTGCCACAGGAGGTTATCCTGATGTGTTCTTCCATTCAAAGACAGCCGAGAAGAAGTGGTCCTTGGGAGCATCCCTCTGCCCAGCTACGTGATCTCACCGGTGGCCCCTGAGGATCGCATAAGTCGCAAGTATTCCTTTAAGGTACTGTCCCTCTCCTTTAGTTCAGCAATGCCGTCCTAAGAAATGTTGTTGTTTGGTCGCTGAGTCGTGTCCAACTCCTTTGTTAGCCCATGGACTGTAGCCTGCCAGGCTCCTCTGTCCATGGGATTCTCTAGGCAAGAATATTGGAGTGGGTTGCCATGTCCTTCTCCAGGGGATCTTCCTGACCTAGGGATCAAACCCGCATCTCCTGCTTTGGTAGGTGGCTTCTTTACCATTGTGCCATCTGGAAAGCCATTGCCTGGAAAGCCCCTAAGATACACTGTGTTCCCAGTAATGGCTTCACAGAAGCAGTTGTTTTTGCTGGGAGTGGGAGGGGGAAGAAGTTAAGAAGTTGGGTGTTTCAGAGTCATGTTAACAAAGTTATAAATTCTTTAAGCAAGAATAATATCCCATCACAAGTGCCTTCATTTGTGTCTGAACTTTTGAGTCCTTCAGCCTTGCTTGAATATTTAGACCTCTCTTTTCCTGTCACTACTATTTCTGCAACAGGTCTCAGAAAAACAAAACAAAACAGGGTCTTAACCACTGTCGCTACCCCCAGTGACTCCAGAGTTGCTGTGGGTTGAAGATCCTGGATCCTCCTTTGCTTCACGTTGCATGATGTGGTATTGCCGTATTCCTGTAAAACCTTTTGTGACTGAGAACTACTGTTATCCGCATTACCTCATTTGATGCTTGTGGGGAGCCTGGGGGGTTAGTATGATTCGCTTCATTTTATAGATGAGGAGAATGAGGATTGGAGAGCTGAAGAAGCTTACCACAGCCCCAGAGCTGGAAGCCAATGGAGGCAGATCTCCACCCTGAGCTCTGTGCTCTTCATGTGCAGTGCAGGGAGGGAGGACGATTTTTCTCTTTTCCTCTCTGCTTTTCTCCCACGTCTTACTCCGGTCACCTGCACACCCATTGCAGGAGGCAGGAGATGGTTTCAGTGAATGCTTATTGTTGTTTTAGTAATAATGATCTGTTAAATAGTTCAGAGCCTCTCCTGCTCATTGTGGGCTCTGAAAACGTTTTGTTCCCTGGGTTTCAGAGTAGTCTTTTGCAGCCTAACGCCTTCCTTAGGAAACCTTCCTTTCTAGGATTGAGTGTTGCTACTGGGCAAACAATTGGGATAACGCTGTTATATATGATTTGGTGGTGGTGGGGGACAGCATTTGGAATATCTTCAAAGGAACAGATTATAACTATATATATTTCATCTCAACACTTCATTGGGAGGTGTGAAAAATAGATTCAAGGATAACATCTTTTATGTGCTGTCACATTCTCTCCTTTTTAAAAGAAAGAAGACTTCACCAAGAGTGTTCCCTAAATATTTTATCTGGGAGACAGAAGGCATGCCCATTTTGGGGGCTGATTGGGGTCTGCAGGGTCTGAGAGGAAAGAAAAGCTACTACGGGCAGCACTGGTGATGCTCAGCTGGTTCTCTAGAAAGGACTGTGGTTTCCTGAGTGTGGAAGAGGCCCCTTCCCTTTGGTTGCAGTGTCATTCTTTCAGGGATGTGAGGGTGGGCCTGGGGCAGTTCAGGGTCCACGTTCTTGGGCTACTGAGGAGTGTGCAGTGTGTTGTGTCCTGGGCGTTATGCTTGCCTCTAATGTCATTTCTCAGTTTTCAGAACTGCAGTTCTCAGACCGTTGCTAGGACACCTTGCCTGAGATTGTTCAGAGAATCTGCAGTGGCAGAGCCTGAGGGTTATGTGTTCCTCTCTTGTCTGTCTTCTCTGACTGCACTCCCAGCCTGGCAGCCCCTAGGCATTGTCAGGGAGGCGGGGTGCTAGATGCGCCCTGAGGCTCCGCTGGGTCTACAGGGTGAGCCAGCAGGGCTCTCCGTGGCCTTTGGGTACCATTGTTCCCCCAACTCCCACCCCTCCCTGCCACACCGGACCGTGTGCTCTCCTGGCTCATCTGGGGCATCTCCCCACAGAGCACCTACTGGAGTCACAGCCTCCCTTGGCCTGCTGGTCACTTCTGAGCAAGCTTAGCCCCTCAGATCCAGGGTCTGGGGCAGAAAACATCCCCAAGGGGGAAAGTGTCTTTATTGCTTCTCTTTGAGCTAGTCTCCCTCCCTCAAGACTAAGGGCTCCTTACTTGAGGCCTACAGACCCATGTCAGTAGGTAAATTACATCTTTCTTTTTTAAACCTCTTAGTATCCACGGGTAAATCATGTCTTTCTTATTTTAATGCATAATATCTCCTTTGATTGAGAAAGCAGACAGGAGTAGGTATCGACAGCACCCATGCCTTTGGTCACCAATAGAAACCAGAGATGTTTTCATATCACACTATAGTTGTTGCAGATATCTTGAAATACTGTTTATGTTCTTTACCACTTCAAAATTACAATAATTATTACATCTGCCACTAGATTTGTTATGTGATACATTATTAAGGAAGCACCTGTATCACTATATTGCAACATTTAAAAATATTTTGGTAACTATATTTCAATATAGTATATTTCCTTTATCCTATTGTGCACGAAAACACCTTCTAGAAAGAGTTCATAGAATCCACCAAGTCCTCAAAAAGATGCCAGAAAAAAGATTAAGACTCTCTGCTTTAGATTCTGGCTGAAGGCCAGCCAAAAGTCATGGTGTTTTACTTACGTATACTCGGCAGACTTCTGTTGTGCTCTGTTGTTCTACTTGGCAGGATATAGATGCTAGGGATACAGTGGTGAAAGGACACAGTCCTTGCCTTTGTCTGCATGAACCTAGGGATTAACAGAATAAGAAGAGAATAGGAAGAGCTGCTGTCCTCTCCCATTTCAATTTTGTGCTTTCTGTATCTTTGAAATCCATCTCTCCCCTACCACTGTCACTATTCTGTCTAGCCTGCCATCACCCCCGCCCCCCCCCCCCCACCCCATGGTAACTAACTTACTAGGCACTGGAATGATGCCTTGCACATAGTGAGCACTCAATGAGTGTTGCCCATCATTGCTTCAGCCCTGGAACTCCTCTGTAGCCTTCAGGCTGTCCTCCACGCTGTTTCTCAGTTACACGTCTGTTCAAGAATGCTCCTACCCTTCTGTGGCTCCCCATTGCCTTCAGGATAGAGCCCAATCTTGGTTTAGAAGGTCTGGCTTATCTCTCTAGCCACGTTTTAGCACACTTTCTTCTTATGCCTTTCCTCTATTTCTTGCCCATAGGCCTTTGCTTGAGCTTCAGTCACAACCTCGAATGCCCTTTCTGAACTCTTCCTTATCTTTTAGGTGTCTGTTCACGGGCCACCTTCTCCAGGAAACCTTCCCTAAGTCCTCTGGACGGGTTCTGTACTTTTATTTGAACATCCACAGCTCTGGTATCACTGCCCTATAAATGGTTGATTACCCATCCAGAGCTTTCTCCAGGGAAACTAGCCATCATCTAGTTTTGCCAGGGTAGATGGGGCTGGTCGTATTCTTTAAACAGGTCACATAGGGCTGTTATTTGTAGTAGGAGTTGTGGTCAGTGACACTCCTTATACTTCCCAAGGTAAGGTCAGTTCAGCTTATTTGTATTTCATGTTTAGTCCTCTGTAAGTCAGTGATGGTTCAATGAATCCCACTAACTTACTCAAGTAGATGCCTGCCCCAAAACCCTCTGTGGCTGGGCAGAAAGTCTGGGAAGGGGGTGTTAAAGATCTTATGGGGTCAATGTCCAAGGGAGCTTTTACCAGAATTTCTGCCAGTTGACAGTAAGACATAAATAAGCCCCTTCTAATTCTCTTCTTATTGCCACATCTACACCTTGCTGAAAAGAAGGAATCCTTCCTAGAACAGTGAGTGAGTCCTTATACATGCAAGAAAGGAAATCAGATTTGCTCTGGCCACTGTAGGAACCCTTAGCTGCAAGCCAGGTTTACCTGGACTGCCTTGGCACTGGGCTGGATGGAGTCAGATCTGTGAGTGTCACAAGCAGACTTGTGTTTAATATCATTTTTGGACATGGATGTTAGGAGTGTGAGAGGAGAAGTGAATGCTTACAGTTCATGTCTGAGATTTCATCCATGACCACTGGTGATTTCAGAAACATGTCATTTTCTAGACATGTTTCCACTTCTCTCATTTTGCTTTCTCTGACTGGCCCTTGCATGGTATCTGCCTATCATTTTGAATCCAGGTTATCAGATCAGTGAGCTGTATCAGACTCATTTCTGGATAGACCCTGGGTGACATATCTGGATATGAGCATGTCTGGATAGACATTCCTAGGTGAGTGCCTAGAATCCTGGCTCCAGCTTTTCAGTCAATCAAAAAAATATTTATTGGGCACCAACTATGTGCCAGGCACTGTTCCTGGGGATACAGTAGTGAACAAAATAGACAGAATCCCTGCTCTCATCAAGTTTATATTCTTCAAGGAAGAGAGAGATGATAAACAAGAGTGTAAAATAAACAATGCCATGTAATAAGTGCTGTGAAGAATCTGTGACTAGGCATGGAAATCTAGGAAAGTTACTTCTCAGAGCTTTACTTGCCGTATCTATAAAAGGGATTCTGAATGTTCCTGCCTTTCAAGGCTATTAGGATTAAAATGAGATTAAAGTCATGGAGGTACCCAGGAGATAAACAGAAGGCCCTCTGTAAATCTTTCTCTTTCTGCATCGTCTCTCTCTGTGGATTTGGTGAGCTTTTTCCTTACAAATTTAGAAGACCCTGCTTATCAGAGCCCAAGGGGGAAAACTAGTGTTACCTCTTCACCGTCCATCCGTGTTGCTTCTCAGGGGTCGTTCCCTGTGCCTATAGAACATATAAGAGCACCTTGAGGCTTCCTGACACATAGTAGGTATGCCAGCGTCCTCAGTCAGGTGTTAGACTGCTTGGTCAAACTTCATAGTACCTCTGGAGGGCCAGAAGAGCAGCTTCCTTGATGGGCACACATCACATTTCATGCCAGGCAGGGCATGAATATCTGCAGGCCACTGAATATCTGCACCAAGCTATCTGCTGTTAAGCAGCTGTTTTGAATCAACTCTAGTCATCAGGTGCTTCAGAAAAACCGAGACAGGGATTCCCGAGAGTCTGCTTCTTTGGAATGAGGTGTGTTTTTTTTTTTAAATCTCTTTCTCACATAAGCCTTGAATTGACTGTGTGCCCTTCTGTAAGTGGGAGTGAGAGAGGTAGGAAACAGATACAGCTGCAGGGCTTTCGCTGTGGGGAGCAGACACAGCTGTTGCTGGGCCTGGCTGTGTCAAGGAAGGGGAACCCAGCCTTTTTTTTTCCACGTGTGGAAATCAGCTGGGTGGTGCGTGGGCTTTCAGTCTGGAAGAGGGGAGAACTGGGCTGGAGCATCTCTCGGTTTTTGCTCCTGGAAGTGAAACGCACACTAACCTTTCTGACCTGGGTCTCCGTCTTCTGTCTCCAGGCTGTACACACCGGGATGCGGGCTCTCATCTATAATAGCTCTCAGGCCGAGCAGTCGGGCATGAGGACCTACTACTTCAGCGCTGACACCCAGGAGGACATGAATGCTTGGGTCCGGGCCATGAACCAGGCTGCACAGGTGCTGTCGCGATCGTCACTGAAGAGGTCAGTCCCCGTGGAGGGTCCCTGCCAGAGTGCTGCCTATGCGGGAGGGTGCCCCAGATTCCACCGTTCACTCACTCCTATTAAGCATTGCCCTCTCTTGGAATTTTACATGGTGACTTCTTCCTGGAGGAGATTGAGTACAGAGCCAACACATACTGCCGGCAGAGCTGAGAGGTGCCTTGGGAATTATCGAGGCCACTGTCCTCATTAAACAGAGAAGCGGGAAGGGCTGGAAATGTGAAATGACTGAACAGGGTGGGATGCAAGCCTTGGAACCTGGTCGAGTGTTTCTCAGTCTTTCTCATCTTGTGTGTGGTTCAGAGGACAACCTTGGGGCAATGTCAGGGGAGGAGGGAGCAGACAAGCAAGAAAGATCTTGAAACTGGAAACACGCCACCGATGGCCCACCACCTTGTTGTTGGGAGCTGACGTGGGCACTGTCTTTCAGCTGCCCCTTCCCTCAAACGGGCCAACCAGGGTACCATCAGGGATCTGGAGGTTCCTGAGTCTGTTGACTGTGGGTGATTCCCTGAGAGTGCGTGGACAAGGAACTTGAGTTAAGTCAGTTGCTTGGAGAAGGTCGGGTAGCTCTGGAAAAGTTAGGGTGCCTTTAGCCAGTCCTCACCTGACGTGAACCCCCTTCTTTACTGGACATCTTGCTCTGTTTGGAGGCCTCTTTGACAAAGGTCTCTTAGGCCTCGTAAGAGTGCCGGATTCTCAGTGACTGCGAATGAGTGGTTTTATTTTGTCCACCTTTTCCAACTCAATTTTATGTGATTTGGGGTATTAGTGGTATTTCCTAGCTTCATGCTCTCTTTCCTGAGACTAACAGGTCTTTGATATAGTTAGTAGCCTCCCTTAAGAGGCCAGGTAGGGGTCAGATTCTGCCGTTGGAGTTTCCATAGCGCCCAAGTTGAGCATTTGTTGTGCTGGGTTTTTCCGTCTACTTTTCAGTATCCTAGGCTTCAAGGGGGTATCATCTTTGAGTCTTCTGCACACCTGACATATAGTAAGCTCTCAAATATCTATTGAGTGAGTAAGTGAGAAATTGAAAGAATGAATGAATGTGTTGGACAGGACAAGAACAAAGACTGTCCTGGAAGTTACCCCGTGGGTCCTAAATCAGTGACTCTTACCTATAGATATTCAGTCAGGTTTGCCTCTCTTCCTAGCAGTGTCATCCAACCTAAATATTTCTGTTGTGTGCATGATAATGAATCAAAAGTCTGTGCCATTAGCCTGCAGGCACTCTGTTCAGTGACATTGATATTTCCACCTTCATCCCAGGAGAAGGAAATGGGCAGGTTTGACATAACTTACTCCTAGTGCACATGCTGGTCCCTGAAGCTCACTGTTTCCTTGTCTTTGTTGTTAATCAAAAACTATTTATTTTGGTTGTGCTGAGTCTTAGTTGTGGCAAGTGAAATCTTTAGTTGCTGCATGTGAACCCCTAGTTGCATCAAACCCAGGTCCCCTGAATTGGGAACGTGGAGTTTCAGCCACTGGACCACCAGGAAAGTCTTCCCCCAGGCCACACACATGCAATAAGACATTCTTATTGTAAAAAAACACAAAAAGTGAAGAGAAATATCCTTAGTCACCTTCCTAGTGTTACCTCTGTTACCAGGTTAACAGGGATCTCTTTAAGTTATTTTCTATTCATTTATGTGTATATATGCTCTTTAAGACATATAAAGGGTTTTTTTTTGGTGCTTTTTTAATAGCATGAATGATATTGATCTTGAAAATCGTTCTGTATCAGTGTATATGGGCTGACTTTATGTTTGACTGTTGTATGGTATTTCATAATGTAAATGTACCGTAGTGTAGTTAAGCATGTGCCACATGTTGGATAGTTTATTTTGTGTTCTCTTTTACAGCACAGTTGGGTAATGAAAAACTTTGTACAAGCCTCTGCACATGTGAGGCATTCAGATTGTTGGGTCAGTATACAGTGCATCTTAAATTGTAATCAGTACTACCAAACTGTCCTTTAAAGTCAGTTGTATTAATATGTTCCACTAGTGAGAGTGCTAATTTCTCCACATCTTTGCCAACAGTTGATATTATCAGTCTTTTTCATTTTTGCTGAGCTGCTATGTAGATGAGTGGTATCTGTTTATTTTAATGTGTGTTTTCATGATGGTGGGGATCTTTTATATTTATTGGTCACTTGTATTCCTCTGCAGTGAATTGCTGGTACCTATTCTCTGCATTTCCTAGTGAGTTCCTTGCTTTTCTTTGATGCTTCCTTTCCTCCATGTGTTGAAATCTGCCCAGTTGGGAATGCTGCTTGGCCTCTTGCAGAGGTTGGTTGTAGGCTCTCAGTTGTGTTATTTAAGAGAATCTGCTTTTCCCCACTTCTCAGTCAGGATACTGTTTGTCAGTCAGTTTGTAACATTCTGGCATTTTTCCTGTTCTCTTGGATTCCTCAGAGATGGTCTGAGAGGTTTCTAGAGCACATCTTCAAGTTCCCTTAGGGCCCTGGGGCTCTGACAGCTGAACTTTTCCCGTCTTCCTTGCCATCTTGGTCTTTCAGTTTCTCTGAACCAAGGTTGTTCTCTTATTCATGGTGAAGTCACTCACCTTGATGAAGATATGGAAATAAATTCAGACGTTGAAGAATTCAACTTTATTTGTGCTGTAGTCATCTTCCCAAGCAGAGATACCTATATCTCATATATATATATATTTTTTTAAGTTCTCCCCTCCTTTATTTTAATTCTCAGAAAATACAAAGTTTTGTTTTATTTTGCTTTAAGTAAACAAATCTCGGTTCCTTCTAGACTTTACCGTTTTTGCGGTCATTGGCGCGGGCCCATTCTGCTGGATTTGTGCTTGATGCATTTCCCATAATGTGAGCTCTGAGTGCTCCCTGTGTCCTTACATTGGTTTGCTTCCACCAGCAACGTCAGACAGGTTCGTTCTTCTGTCCCAGCTTTGCCCAGTTGTCTTGTGCCTGACTCGGGCACTGGGTCAAAGATAACTTGAGAATGAGATCAGACTTAACAGGAAAAAGTGCTGTGATTTTTTTTTTTTTTTTTAGTGCTGTGATTGATAAGTGATATCTGCCTTGAACTGTTTAGGTTTAGGATGAATTTGCTAGCTAAGATTAGGATTTTTTTTTTTTTTTTTCCTACAAGAGGATTTTGTAATTAACTCTCAGATTTTGGTTTCAGAGAGGGTCCTTCCCTTCTCCACTGGGCTGCCTTCCAGATCTCTGGCCATTTTATTATTGCTGGCTTTTTTCCGAACTTTTAAAATGTGTTCTTGCTATGCTCTTAATAAACTCTTGAAATCCCATAGTCATCTTTGCCCAAGGTTTCTTCCCTGTTTAAAAAAACATAAACAAAACAAAACTTGTTCTACCTTCTGACTCAGTAAAACCAGAGTAGCATTTCCTCTTAATTTTCTGAGAGATGAAACTGTCAGCCAAGGGAATTCAGACTTCCTAAATGTTCTATTTCTCTGAATAAGATGTTCAAACATTTAGTTAGTGAGACGTATGCATCATGTAAGATGCATCTTGCTTCTCCTCCACATTGGTGATCTGCTCTGGAAACCTCCAGCTCTGTTCCGTGGGCGGTCCCAACCGTAGCTTTTCCTTCTCTCCCTCCTTGATTCTCACCCAAGTGGTTCTATTCTTATTCATATAGGCAGATTCTTTCGTTATGAATGTGGTACTTTAGGGCTTCTTATTACAAGCAACAAAATGCAAATTTATCTTAAAAGGGGAGTTTATTGGTCCAGTCACTGAAAAGTTCAGGATAACTATAGCTTTAGAAAACAGCTGTGTTCAAGGCTCATTCAGTATCATTACAAGTCATCTCTCTCCCCAGTGGGCTGGCTTCATTCCTGAACTCCGTGTAGAGGTCCCTGGCAGATCTGGGATCTGGTGGCTAGATGGCTGCAGTAGCCCCAGACTTAGGTCATCTGAGTTAAGTCCAGTAGGAAAGAGCCAGAGTCTTCCCCAGAAGCTCTCAGATCTCTTCTAATCAGACCGGCTTAGGTCACACTGATTCCCCAAATCACATACCGTGGCCAGAGAGTACATGTGCTGACTGACTCAGGCCAGATACCTGCTTCACTTCTGAGAACCTGACCGTGGGGACTGAGAGTGAGGTGGGGTGGATTCCCAAGTGACGTTAGGGCTGTGGACAGAGGAAGGAGAAATGACTTGATGGGATGTGATAAATGATATGCAAGCAACCAATGTCCAAGCCACTTCCTCCTATATCGATTTCTTTTGCCTTAAGTGCTGTCTCCCGTTAGGCCAGAGTTTAAGCCCAGCTCTACTACTACTTTCTAGCTGTGTCACTTGTGCAATTTAGGTATGCTTTTTAAACAAATTTTTCTAGTTCATCAGGTTTTTGCAAAAATGAAATGAACGTGTAAAGTGCTTACTTTACGTGTTGCCCACAACATAGTTGATACTCCATATCCGATATGCTAGCTCCCATAGGGTTTAACAACATCATTGTTTTTTTCTTTTTTTTGCACCCATCCAGTTTCACTGTTAATCCTCTGAATTACACGACGATGAATCTCCTGTGGTCACATTGTACTCTCCTCCTCTCCAGGATGTGCCCATCCCCTAGCAGTGTGAGCTGTGGTTCAACAACCGAGGTTCCTGCAGGACCATCCCTCAGCCTGCCCCCTCACTGTCTCCTCCTCCAGCCTCTTCCTACATTGTTCTCTAACCCCAGAGGGAGCTGAGCACCCTTGCTGTACTTCCTCCTGTCGTCCTTTTGTTCCCTGCAGGCTTCAGGGTCTCTTGATGGACAAGTATTCCCGAGCCCCCACCCCCTCTCCGTCAGGGACACTGAGCCCTGTGGCCAGAGCCCACCCTCTCCCTCCTTCTGTCCATGATTTCTTCTCCCTTATTTCCATGTTCTTCCACTTGCCAGATTCTGGATTCTGTTTTTTTATTCTCTACAGCCTCCTTAAAATCTGTCTTCCAAGTTCCTCTGTTGAACTGCCTTTTTTCCCCCTCTTATTTA